AGGCGCGCGCGCTCGCCTCGCCCGCTCCCCACAACCACCACCTCGCCGACGGCGTCGAGCGCGCGCTCAAGGACCTCGCCGACATCGTGCACAGGTACACACATCATTCTGACATTACTGTCAAATCTTAATCTCATGTTAAGGAATTTAAACCCAACTCTTGGACATGACAATATAGACAGACTGTACTGTTACAGATAAGCGAGCACTGCGCCCCCGCCCCCGGACTGTACCGCGCGCCCCCGCATCGTCTTCAACGTTTAGATACTATCTCATCGTCAGTATAAATGTAACTGATCTCAAAACGACGCGTAGGTTTTTGTAGCATCATTAATACTTGGTAAGTCAACGTTATTACTGAATAGAAGGTGAAGGGACAGCTAGTTGTCCACTCCATCAGTGCCAAATGTATGTTAGTACTTGTTAGTACTCGTACTGCTCGTACATTCCTCTACCCGCGACACACTCGATACTGTTCTGTTTAGCATTTAAATAGTTATATAGTACTACGTAGTAAGTATACACGATAGAAGACTCGTTCTACTCGGACCAATATCGATGCTTTTCCTTTGAACGTGGCACACCGTCTGGCCGCCACTTAAAGACTGTCTTCAACTCGTTTGTATTGGGCCTATATATACGGTATGATGTACTTGCATTGTATACTTAGTTATGCGTCTTCATTGGACCATCGCTATATTCGATATACCATTCTATATACATATTATGATTATAAATATTATTTTATTAATGTAGTGCGAACAAATAAATTGTCAAACATGAAGTATTTTAAGTTAGCGTACTGTGATACGGCTTATAATGTAATAATAATTATGCTCAATATTTTCTTTAATATAATTTGTATTAATCGAAGTTGTAAGGTATTTGATTAAAAATGGATCGATGACAGTTGTACGTTAGCGACGCCATTACTGTATCATGTCTATGCTAGTCTTTATTATTATTGAAATAAATGTACGTAAGTTGTCTGCAATAGGTATGTGTACAATTCTTCAGCCTATTTTAGTATCTACTCAATGTATCGTAAGAATTTTGTATAATACAACAAGCTCGACGCGCCCCCGGGACGCGCTCCGCCGCACCGTTGCTAGCCGCCGCCGTAGAGACGTGTTCTATATTGTACAGTACATGATGGCAGGGACCGCGCGGTGTACGGGATACTCGTGACCGTTATGTTTTCGTACAACACACCAATGCACGCCATTAATGTACTACATAGGACAACAGCTTAGTTCACTAGAGCGGCACTTGTTTATCTTCAACTTCGTTATCACAGTGTGCCGAATGTCCCACGACTACCTTCAATACTGAGGATAGACAATTTAACTATAAGAATACTTCATTTTCAAATACAATTCAAATTTCATTCACAGTACACTGTCTATTTATAGTATTTAAGGTACTCTCCGTGTGACATTGTACGGCGTCCTGGTCCTGTACAGCGCGGCGGCGCGGTGCGGTCCACTTAGTTATCGTATCGTGAGTCCCTGCCATAGTGCCACTGTATCAGCTTGTGCAGTTTGTATCTCTGCTCTCTCACTGGATTGCACCCTCTTAATTCCCTCCTATGTTAAGTAATAGAATCCAAAGATACATAACAGGTGTCCAATTGTAATGGAAATTAAATAATTTCTTTAAAACTACAAGTTCTTTTATTTTGTACTAGCGACCCGCCCCGGCTTCGCACGGGTGCAATATACATGTATTATACATACAAACCTTCCTTAAGAATCACTCTATCTATTAAAAAAAACCGCATCAATATCCGTTGCGTAGTTTTAAAGATCTAAGCATACATACGGACATACAGCGAAAGCGACTTTGTTTTATACTATGTATTGATGCTACTCTACATGAGTACGAGAATTGCGTGATGCCTCACCAACACTCCATTTCCCAAAATGTCTAATCTAATCTGACTACACTTGTACAGTATAGACTAATTATAATTTTAGTCTAGACTGTAAGAGAAAAGATTTGGATTTTTGTTTCAATTGATTAAATTCCGAAACTACGGGCCCGATTTAAAAAAAATATTTTGTCGTTGGTTTCCTACATTATCCCTGATGAAAAAAAGTAAAAAGGTCCTTACATTGCTTACGGAGTGGAGTTTATAGACATTGACAAAAACATTGAAAAAAAGGCGCACATAGTCTCTTGAAACGACGACTGTGGCACCTGGCTACTAAAGACTTACACGCAGAATACACACACATAGACACGAAGGACATCTGTCGCGTGACATGGCGCGTCATTACACTTCATACATTACGGTGTTGCAAGTACACGCGCACATATATACACTGTACAACCTCCACCTCTGCCTACCCCTTCGGACCTTCGGGGATATACGGGTGAGATGTTATATACAATTTATGACAAAAAAAACCGGCACCAACTCCTAACCTATGAGTGGGTGTGTAACTTATAAATATCAACGTATGGCCAATAATAGTTAGTAGTTTATTTAATTTTCTCCTCCTTTCCAGTTCCTTTGGGGATTATAAAGTATATGTTAATTCACAAATTATATATAAGTACGTTACGGTTAATAAACTACACTTCTTCATTATCAGACCCTTAATGACAGCTCCACGCTATCTAGGTGTAAAGTCCTCATCAATACAAATTAATCAAGCCCAAACACAAGGTAGTTAATATAAACCGCTGAGGAGTTCTCTCGACTGTCTGTCGGCTCCATCATCAGGTCGACTCCAGACCCTTATCAAATTGTAGTGTTTAAAAATCGTAATTGATAAACATAATAGACGCATTATGTGCCCATAGAATTTTCGAAAGTTCCCCTCGGTTTCCCTAGGATTCCATCATCAGATCCTGATCTCATGGAAATGGGACCATCTCGGGAGATCCTTTCAAACAATACAAGAATTTTGGAAATCGGTTCACAAATGGCGGAGTACTGCGCGAACAAACAAAAAAAACAATCCGCCGAACATAGTACCTCCTCCTTTTTTTGAAGTCAGTAAAAAGCATATATACGGTCGAATTGAGAACCTCCTCCTTTTTTGAAGTCGGTTAAAAATTAATCAAGCCCAAACACAAGGTAGTATACCTACCTACTGTGAACCGTTGCGGAATTCCTTCGACTGTCTGTGAGTTCCATCACCAGCTCGACTACTGAGGGTCTGGCCCTTACAATACCTATTGTATTAGGTACGTAGTATTTAAAAATACTTATTGATAATTATGTCGAAACGTTTGGCTAAAAATGGAATATATTGCCGAAAATTAACATATTGAACTTTAGCTGCTACTCGAAGATAAACCTAGGTTTAACCGTACGTTCATATTCATACCACCATTATCCGTAACATGAAATTGCTATCGTTGCAAAGTTATGCAAAATTGTCTTGTCGGTGTAATTATGTATTAAGGATTTTTCGATGTTTTGAAATATCTCAGTAGTACGTACAGTAGGAACGTGTGCCTGATTAATTAATTATTATAGTATCGTGCTACTAACACAACTGTTTATTTATTGTAAACTAGCTTCTTTCGCGCGGTTTCACCCGCTCTGCTTGGTTCCTATTGAAAAATATCCGCGACAAATGCAACAAATACTAATTTAGATCGGATCAGTAGTTTCGGTTCGGAGATGAACGCGTTCAAACAAACTCTTCAGCAATAAGTACACGCTAGACAAGATGTCAAGATGGGATGCCGTCTGCTTACCAGCCCGCCTGCTGGTAAGCGTGCATGTGCCTCTACTCCAGAACTCTTAACACGTGTTTGTATTCATGTTATTGTATCAACTAGAAGAAGCAAAATGAGTAAAGCTATTTACTCACCCTTACTAAAAGTTCGTTACGTAAATAAAACATTAGTGGGATTAAATATTCTTTATTGAGATTGAGTTTATTACATGTCATCATGATCTCTTATAGTTATGGAATAGGCGCGAAGCGCTCGTAATTACTTAAAACTAAATTATGGAATAATCTAAATGCTTTTATGTATGTTGGTTACATCAGTCATACATCTAATGAGTTACAAATAATTAAATTACAACACTGGAATGTTGCCTTACACTGGGCCGGGGGGGCCACGTGACGTCACCGTTAAATAAGACTTATTATGTCGCGCAACACAAAAGGCGCGTCGCCAGGCTGCCAGCAACGCGCGGCCTCATGCAAATTATAAAGTCTGTACCTGCAACAGGTGCAACAACTGGCTATGAGCGCCACGCCACGACCACGATCCTCGATACTGCTCGGGCTGACTCATTATTTCATTTATTAGACATTGTCAATAGTAATCGGTACTCTAAGTTCCGAAGGTTATCATAATATCATTATTCTTAAATATTTAGGTATCACATAATGTGTTTTGTTCCATACAAGATTTATATACATTGTCGATGGCACAATATGTAGGCCTAGGAGTCATGCCTAGTACAGTAAGTACTCAGGCTGCTCATTAAATTTATTGTTTATGCCAATCTATTTGGATGTTTTTCATCCCATATTAGCTTCAAGCTATAAATACGACACAAGTTATTGGCGCTGTTCTTGTGTTCCTCTAAATAGTTATCAGATGTTTTATTTATACATATACGCAATGGCGACGTGTTGTAAATTGAAGTTCGGTCCCAATGAATACATTGTACCTACTTATTCAATATACAAATTGATGAAGAAGCATTTGAAGAAATAATTGTTTGATTGGTACATACGGACATCTTAATTAATGTATGATAAATATGCATAAAATCAATGATAAATGAATAGACACTGACGGATAATAATAAGTATTATTATACAGTGCAACCATGCAGCCGGTGCAGGAGTCGCGTTCCACCGAGTACGAGGCGACTGCACCTGTCGCTGCTACCGCTGGTGTCACTTCCATACTTACACACCGAGGTACGACAACGATACGACATCAACACGACGTACAACATTAAGGGAAGGGGTCACGAGCCACGACGGGGCACGCAATACGGCGGGCTAACACTGCTAGTGCTAGCCTGCTGTATGCTAGTGTTGTCGAAGAAATCAACATCGGATAATTCTGTAACTTGAAATAATGTAACTCGTGCTGGGTTCCCCGTATTGCCCTTACCCCGCGACGACGGATTTTTCATAGGGGTTTGAGAAAATTGAAATATATTATTTGATTCGTCTTTACCAAATTCGATGCCAAGTGATAATAGTTTAATTTGTAATCTAAGTGTTGTGATTAGTTTTGATTGGTAAACATGTAATTTTTATTAGTTTTTGCCAATTTCCCTTAACATCCCCGTTATACGTCCCTTTCCCCTTTGTTTTTGGATTTGTGAATAAATTAGACGAATAGGGGAGAGAGGTCGTTGTATCTATCTTTTTATGTTTACCAAAGTTTGTTATGATAATATTTAACGTCGAAATAGCCTTTATCGGTTAGCTGCGAGTCTCTGCGACTGGCACCGGCTGCGGGCGTGCCTGCAGCTGAGGCGCCGGCGGACGGCAGGCCGGCGGCGGGCAGCTGGGCCGGGGGCGCGGCGGGGGCGGGCAGCGCGGCCGCCTGTTGCACGTCCAGGGAGCCGGGCCGCTCGACCTGCACGGGGCTGTAGCGGATGGGGCCGCGGGCACGTATCTCGTCCTGCCGCTCGGCGGGCGGCTGGTCGGGGTCAAATTCATATGCATCGGCATCATATTCCGGCTCTGATGGCTCTTCCCAATCGTCGTCATCCCACATCTCCTCAGGGTAGTAGCGGATAGGTTGGCCTTCATTTGCGACTGCTGCGCTCGCCTCGGGAGCTTCAGCTTCAGCGGCGGGTGGAGACTCCGAGCTGTGACATAACATTCAGCAAAAATACTTGTAAAAAATGATCACAAACTTTTGGAAAGTGTGAAAGTGTGTGGGAAGTGGTCTTTTTCATCATAACTTCACACAAGCAGATTGATAACATTACTACACTCCATTAGAACCAATGTAATAAAGGACAACGCCAGGTGCTCAGTACATCTTTGACCCACTATATTAGAAGTCATGTACAAGTATGCAGTATTCAGCATCGTGTAGTGTATTAATTACCGATACCTAAACATTTGTCCTAAAACCTGTAAAACTTGCGGTTTCTGTTTAAAACACAAAACAATAATGATAAATAACGCGAAAACAACGGAAACGCAAAGAGCGAATGAAAGATAACATTGACACTGACAGCTGACAACTGACAAGCGCTTCAAAACGTTTCGTTACACAAAAAAATCATAACTAATGATAGTAATAGTTTCTTTTATGTTTTCGTGATTTCATCAGTAATTATTAATAAATAAATAAATGGTATACATAATTATACCTTTGCTATAATATTTTATGTATAATGATATCTTTTTTACAGTTACTTACTTTTTTATTTTCATAGTTTCGTACAAGCGATGCGTATGATGTAACGCAAATCGTCATTAGACAATATGGAAGACGCATTGCTAAAAAGTATTTCCGGGATTGAACTTCTTTTTTTATTAGATTGCAAACCGCAAGTTTAAAAATAAAAAGATTTATTGTGAAAAGGTTCCTTATTCGTCAAAATTATTTTCATCAAATTACTTTTTTTGTAAATGATATTATTGACTGGGTCAGGATCTGGCATTGTCATTTATTACGGAATTTAATATGAACTAACTAACGGGGAGTGTGCGTGGGTATTGCACAACCTTAATCCCCCTAGTCCGTTTTACCATCATACTACCAGACGAAACGCAGGGCGCCACCCTTATATGGTGGACATTCCACCCATTCGCATCTTTGTGCGACCCGCTAAGGAATGGAATTGCTTGCCGAAATCTCTGTTTCCCGACCAACATAACTTGGGCGTCTTCAAGTTCCGAGTGAACAGGTTGCTCATAGGTAGGCGTGCTCCATCGTCGGCCACATCATCGCTTACCACCAGGCCAGGATGGCGGCCGAACGTCGACCTATCCAGTATATAATATAAAAGGTGATTTGTAATTAGACTACAATCTCGTATGGGGTTGTAGAACAGATCAATTTCAACATTTTTTCTGTTTTTTTTTTTTAGTTTTACAGTTACCGTAGGCGTCATTTGGAAATTAGCACTAAAAGTTAAGTATTTTAATAACCGTTCATTTTAGCCTATCCCTTTGTTCGACAAATATGTTGGAATTGATCTGTTCTACAACCCCATACTAGATTGTGAGTACGAGTTTGTTGTACGTTGAAAGTAATCGCAACGAGACCGCGCCCGGCACTCTGACTGGCACTAAAACAAACTCGTACAAAAGCCTCAGGAATTTATTACTTAACTGCAGGTATGCTGCAGATAAGATATATAGAGTAGCGTGACGCTGCTCCGAGACTGCCTCGCATCGGAGTGCCAACTAGTGGCGCCGCCTAGCGTGGCGGGCGATAGACAAATAACGATAACATGCAGAACAGCTAATTACATACCTACATGTGCAGCTACATCCCGAGCCCGGTGTACCAGCGATCTAATGATATCCGGGTCGCTTGTATCATTAACGAGTATCAAAGAAAGTCTATGGAAAATGCAAATGTCCACATTCACATTAGATCGCTAGTAGCTACGTCGCGGGGTACAGGATAGCATACAACGTGGATATTGCACGCTCCCGTGTCGTGGTGGACATCACTCTCTTAAAATGTACCTGTGTGTAGTTACCCGGGTAGGTACACGAAGTTGCACCTACAGTATGCACAACACAGCTGCCTGGTAGAGTTGTTGCCTGTCGCAACAACCGGCCAGCGTGTATATAACACTACGCGCGAGTACACGCGACCCATTCAACGAGTATTGTGTTGCACTTGTTGTGTTACCCAGGCAGGCAAGTATTACATTTATACTGCACATATAATATATCCTCACGATAGTTTTTCATTGATCACCTGAAATTGAAATACGACTAAAAATTGAAAAATCTTTATATTATGTACGTGTGCACTGTCGCTTCTCGAGGTTCAATCGTCAATTGGATTATATACTATTTTGGTCACGTTATATCGTGTGCAGAGATGGCCGCTGGGATTATGTCAAAATGACTTGGATATTATGGGAGAACACATTTCTCAAAACTTGCATAACTAAAGATTTGTTGTTGGCCATCACTAGCTGTGCCTAATACAAGGCAGTTAGGTTGGTCTGTTTTCGGTAATGTTTATTTCAGTTAGAGACTGGTGCACCACGGTCGCTGCTTCCACCATTATATGAACATAAATAGACATCGAGACAAGCCACAACATACAGCATGCGATGCGGTCTAACAGTGACTACCCACGTAACTAATGTACTTCATAAATACTACTAAAATAAAGCTGCGTCATTGAGCACACACGACTATATTATCGTCCAGGTGTATCGGACACTGATGTTCCCGCCGCCCGACACGGGCCATACGACCGATGCATCATTCGTCGCCTATAATTTTAAAGTTTATTTATCGATTTGTGTCGGCATTTTGTGTTTCGGTTTCGAGTTGGTATACCTATGTACTTCCAGTGTAACAACATACAGGTCAACTCCACTAAATGTTCTGTAACACTTTAGGTTGGCGACAAGATACGTTCTACTTCAGACGACTAACGAGTTGTAAGTACGGTAATTCGCAGGGAGCTTGGAACACGCTCCTATACGAGTACATTAGTCACAAGTCAATAAGAGTTCTTCTCTGAAGCCCTTGCAGACACAAACTGAAGCATGTCCAAGTTGTATTTAGAATCAGTTCCAGCCAGCCTTGTGTCGAGCACCGAGCCAACTATAGGGACTTCACTAAAATTAGAAATAATGTAATAGAAACCCTGTAAGAGGACTAGTATTATAGAGTATTTCGATTTCCGAAACAATTGTAGCAAGCTCGGCCTTACTGACTTTGACTCATCATGAAACAGCTGGTTACAATTAATATCAAGATGTGCTCTATTGTACGCCTTTTCAGGAATAAAACGTATATTATGAATTTATATTAATCGTTTATTTTATCAATAAATTAAATGCTAAACAAATTTATCGAAGACGTAATTAATTAATTAAAATACTGAACGTAAGAGAGTTAACATGGAAAGTATAAAATGTGGAATACAAGCAGAACGAGTGTCGCGCGCCCTTACAGCCAAGTGGTGCGCGGTGGTGGTGCCCTCTGCCATACTATGCGCATCTCATATTGTAGAACCGGAGGCATTCATTCCTAAATAGCAGGTAGGAGTCGAAGTAAACAATAACAAAAACAGTTCCAGACGTTGTCTCTTAGTTGCTTCCATCTAGAGGTACATGTACGAGGTGTGCGAGCCGTGAACTGATATTAACAACGTTGGAAGGACAGGCAACTACCCTCAGCAGTACTAGTTCACTGCAGACGTAACTTCATCAGGGGGGCAATCCTGCACTCGCCCACGTACCTGCAGTTCTAAGAGGATTCATACATGTGTTCCTACCATGCGAGGATCCAATGCGTCCACCACCACATTCTGACCTGACAGTAAGAGGACGCGGTATCGTTTCTGCTAATATCAGATGTATTACAAACTTGAACAATATAGCAATATCAAAATAAATAAAACGAAGTACTTTAATAAACAAGTCATTGAATCTGCCGGCGCCGGACAACAGCGGCTTGAGGCGGAGTGAGTGCTTGCACAGGTCACAGTATACACACGGGAAGCACCCGACCTGCTGTGCCTTGGCGTGTATCTATGTCAACTTTACGTATAGTTATAGTTTAGACCGATGATTCTGGTCCAGGAACGGAAAAGAAGGCTTCAGGCATTTTTTACGAAATGGAATTAAGCTACGTAGAAAGAGTGGAAGAGGCGAACCTGGAATTGGTTGGGAAAGTCGTCATAGTGATAGCAAATTGTAACTTTTGTAGTCGGTAGGTACTTTGTAGTAGTACTGACTGTATCTTGCACACGCAATAACAGATCAGAAGATAATAGAAGTTTAATGTTTTACAGCATTCTGAAAGATAGAACATAATTTTGAAGTAATTATGAAAATTGGTAACCCCGTTAGGGGGAGGCAGCATGTGATAGAATGAGCCGTGAAGCATGTTGTGACGTCACATCAGCGCGGCAACAGACTAATTATGAAATGTGAACACCATGTTACCAGTGCCTGGTACTCTGACCGGTCTATACAAACAGGACACCTAAGTTATGGGACTCTAGGTAAGATGAGGGCGACTTTCTTATTTAGGTACATTTAAGAATATCGTTTATTATGTAATTCGTGTTGTGCGTTGTGCATACAGCAATATCCGTGTAGTTGCGTTGGTGTTAAGCATGGTCTAAAAAACAAGGTCTCGCATTCCGGGAGAGACACGTGCCTACGTCATTATCCAGTTGCCACTTTATTGCAACAAAACAAAAAATGATAGATAAGTTTTCAGTCAGTATTCTGTTTGATTAAATATCTATAGCAATTGTTTTAATGTATTCGCACAGGTAATTAAATGTTTCTGGGGAGTTATTATTACACAATATTGGTAATACGGAATCGGGCTGTCTCATTGACATTCCGCCAATATGTCATGTATCCCTAATCTTGTTTGACGCATAAGTCTGTCTCGCTCAGTGCCAGTGTGCCTGTGGTTCTCAAACATTTATTTGTGGACGTCTACTATAAACTTTGTTTTTTGTTATTATTAAGACAATTTTCTATGAGATTGAATTTACCCAAACAATAAAGTTTGACAACCATCGATTCCGATGATGACGTAGGCTTGTATCACGCACGTTCTCGGAGTTCTATTGTACCTTATATTATTGTACATTGGTGTTGAGTAAATTTTATTATTAATTTATCCTATCTATCTATACGCAATTTAAACGAACGAAATTCAAAGTCTTCGTCGAAGTAGCACAACCATGATAATATAATATGGGTCTCATCGAGAACCATCGAGCTGGTCGCTAACTAAGCTCAGCCGCCCGGTGAAGCGGCGCAGCTAGCGGCCGCGTGTGCAGTGTGCAGTACGACTGTACGACGCACTCACCACCGACCATACGCGCTGGCAGTGTGTTACTGAGTGCGAGTGTGTGAGTGAGTATGCAGTGTGTGGCTCGATCGCGTCGCGTCGTACGCCGCGCGCCGCGCGCCGCGCCGGGCGTGTCGCGCGGTCGACATGCACGTTTGGCCTAAGTAAGTGAGCGGTAGTGGTCGCCGGGTGGCGGGCACCGTCAGTTTGTGTTCATCGCGCGACGCGTGCGCGCATAACTGCAAGCAACGGTAACGCAAAATAAACATAAAAAAAACATAAGAAATAAAATGTCATGCAGAATAATTATTATAAAATAACTGATTTACACATACACATCAAAAGGAATATAGTCCTCGAGAATAAAATTGTAACGATCGATTAGCTTTCCAGTGATAATTTACGTAACATTTTGCTAATCGTGTTCGAGCGAAGTGGCGTGTTAATGGCGTACTACCTGTGTCCAGCAGTGAACGGAGACAGGTAGATGATGCATGTATGTAACGTTCAAAAGTATTTTAACTAGTTCAGTCCTTTCAGTCACCAAAACAGAAAAACACGCAAAATCGTAAGGCTTTGATTTGATTTATTGTATAAGCAAATATTTAATGGATTGATGAATATAGGTACATTGCATTGTAAAATGTTGAAAAATTGATACCCAACAATGACGTAATGTGGATGTACAATTTTTGATACTGTTATCTGTAATGAAACTAAGGAAAAGAAATAAAAGCAGAACGATAATAGCTACCTGACCAAACCTGCTATTGTTTGCAATACTAGAGGAGTTAATGAAACAACAAACAGGTCGCTGCCCGCGTGTGGGCACCGCGTCGACCATGTCATGAACGCGATAAGTAATTGCATGCAGTTATTCAGAGGACGCTCAAGTTAATTGCAGAAATATTTATTTAAATAAGTTATATTATTGCAATCGATGATGGGAAGAACCGGCGCCTGGTACAAGTATCGCCTCTGCGTTTTATGCGCCAGTTATAACGCGATCCTAATACACGCTGACATTTTGATGGTTGTTTTCCCGCAGCAGAACGATTTCCCTTTAGTAGTACTATCGAATAATGAAAGTTACTTTTTGAAAAAAAATTTTTTTTTCTCCTCATCTACTCAAAAAAATAATCATCAACTCGAAAGCATGAGAAACGATAGTTTCTCTTCTAAAATGTGACGTCAAATCAATGCTCATAGTAAAATAATCTCTCGTACTAAGTAATACAGCATAAACTGCAATGCACACGCGCGCGAGCGGATCGCCTCACGACAAACAACAAAGGCAACCACCGCGCTCTCTGTCACTCGCATCTGCCCGCATCGCCTCGCATCGCTTTCATTCACACCAGTCGCACCGCGAACGCCGTCCGCGCAACCACGCAGGCGCAGTACAATATTATTGCCGCCAAAATGGATCGCCATTACGTTTTTTCTAATGTGGAGTACGTAGCTATGGTGCAATTGTACGCGAGGGCGAATTATGATTTTTGGGCTTTTAATAACCCACACGTTATTCGGGAATGTGCGCATCAAGTGCGGTTTAGTGTAAACGTGTGGGCCGGTATAATAAACGGCTGCTTAATTGGTCCGCATTTTGTGACAGGACACTTAACCGGTGAAACGTACCTACAAATGCTACGTAGTGTTATCCCGGACTTACTAGATGACATTCCGTTAGCAGTGCCCATGGATGGCCTGTATTACCAGCACGATGGTTGCCCTGCGCATTATCAGCGCGCCGTGCGAGAGCACCTCGACTCGGTGTTTCCCCAGCGTTGGATCGGTCGTGGCGGGCCAGTGCCATGGCCACCACGAAGCCCGGATCTTACTCCACTAGACTTTTATTTGTGGTCTAATCTCAAACGCCTTGTGTATCGGCAAGAGTACGAAACTCGCGACGCGTTAAAAAGTGCGATAGTGGACGCTTTTGATGTGATTAGACGTGACAGAGACACATTATTAAAATTGAAAGCCAATCAGTTAAAACGTGCACGATTGTGTGTGGAACGCGGTGGCTTACACTTTGAACAATTGCTCCGTTACCGGGAAATGTAAGTACTTGTACATTTGTAAATAAAACAATAACTTATGTGATTAAAATCATTGTAAATACGTTGATTCCCATTTTTTAAATACGCCTTTCCCAAATTCAGTAATAAACAAGATAATATCTCTTGATTAAATTTTGTTTATGTTTGTGTTTAGTAAGTGTAGTTAAAAAGTATTTACGACGGTCCTAAGCCCGTTAAAGTATGAAGGGAAAATGGAAATCACTTGTTAGTAAATACTGAGTTATCAGCCTTTTGATAAGCGCGAGCGACAATGACAGCGGCCGGTGGCCGGTCGCGGCGGTACTATTGGTTCGCGGTTTCTTTCAAGTTTCGTGTATCACTATCGTAAAACTGCTATTCTTTTATTTAAATTAAAAACAACTTTCTCAATCTATTGTACTACTAAAATAGAATCATTTTACTGTGGGAAAACAACCATTAAAATATCACGGTGTATAATACAATCAACATTTATAGAAGTAGCACGCGTTCGCTTCATCGCCAGTATGATGACGAGTCCAAAACCTCTGAGCTTTCATGATAGGTAGATAATAAAATGAATGTAGATGAAGACTGTAATGATCGATGATGATTCAATTATAATCAATAAAATTTGTCAAACTACTTTCAAACAACTGTATACAACACAACATTATCCTGCGATTGTGAAATGTTATGTCATGTCCTGATGTACCTTGTTTACAATCTAGCATCCAATCAACGAATCTGTGAAGGTGAAGTGCCAATACACACGTTGGGCGAAGTGAGTGCAACGGAACTACCAACTAAAGCCAGAGCGAGCACTGTGAGAGGTGTGTATCATGATTACGAGGACTAGATTGCTTTTGAGGAAGTGTTCACAGTGAAGCAGTAGTGAACGTGAGAGGACGCTTACCGACGCGCTGCGTGCTCGTGGCCGGCGCCGTGAATGACCTGCAAAACGACGCAGCGCACGTTACTACACGTGTACACGAGCCGTGAGCCCACGCTCACTTGTTGGAACCTATGCGCCGGACCACAACTGTACGTATACTGAATACGAAGTTGCTAGGCTGCCTACTTCTTTGTACTAAACATTAATTCTTAAACAGTTAAACCAGAGGTTTGATAACTTGGAAATTACCCATTTCGACTGCAACGCAGTATACGTTACGTTACACGACAAAATAATGTATTGTGATTCACCGATTGTTGAGTACTTACGTTAGCGATCGCTGAAGCTGGTTTTGGGGCGGCGAAGCGTCCGACAGCGGCGGTCGGGACAGCCGACGGACCGCCACCCGAGTTGCTATTACGGAAAGGCAACGATTTATCAGCTATACTGGGCGAAGTAAGCGCGAGCAGGCAGACAAACAGTACTGAGTACAACTGCTAACGGTGTTCGCTTATTGCCTCGCTTTGTACAAAACTATGTGACGTACGTCCTGCCGCTCGGGCAACTAACTACAACCTCAGTGAAAATGACGTACCACTGCTACAGAGAGCCTACCCATCGTCCTACTAATTACCATAATACACCGCGCTATTTACAATGTCTATGTTTCTATATCCAGCTTCTTGTTAAACATGTAAACTAAGCCCGGGACATTTATTTTAATTATTTCTCAATTTAATCTAAATTTCAGATTTTTTATATAGTTTTTGCAAGTTTGATCTCCGATTTGGTTTTCTGTTGTTTCTTATGTTATTTTTAAAGTGCTAACTTTCTATATTTGCATAGATTAAGTGTACACATGGCAACAGACCGGGTCTGTGACAGAGGTGACAGGTCCGAGCTAACAATGGTACGGGTACTGGCTGCTGAGCACTCGCAGTGGGCTACACAACGCGCTCGAATGCCGCGGCCGCGGGACTACCACTGCTTGCTAGTGCGCGCTGACTATTACCTTCAGTCTTTATATCATTGTTAAATGGTAAAAGGGAAGAAACGCACTGACCTGTGCTTTTAGCTTAATACATTTCTTGTTAGTTTCCAGCATCTGTCGTGGAACGGAACCAAGAGTTACTAATAGAATCGTACGGCTCAATGAACGACTGAAATAGCTGATGGAAGAATAACATTCAAAGCAGCATCCAGTCTGTCAGACAAAGACGAGACGCGTCGTGCTTACCTGATCTCTTCGTCGGATCGGTCAAAGAAGTTTGGCGCCACGGCAAAGTTGTTATTTTGCCTGATCAGTTTTTCTATACCAAAGTTCCTAGACAGGAATTTCTCCATTTTCTCAGAAGGACCATCAATGGCCATCTGCCACGCCATGACCTCCAGTTCCTGGGAACAAGGTCGATAATTAGCTGTGCAACATGAACATAATTAGAGCAGAGACGTCATTACAGATGTTATACCTAAGACTGCATTGAGCATTTATTTTCAGAAAAATGTCAAATTTTTGAAATATACTTTAAAAGTCAAAGCATTTATTTCAATTAAACCATAGTTTGGTACTTTTGAAACGTCAACAAATACAAAATAAATAATAGTCTGTCAGTCAGTCCGTCAGTGAAGCTAGGTGAAGCTAGGTGCTCATTCCAAAACGTAGATTCGAATGGAGAAGAACGAGCAAGAAACTCCATTCGTTACTCTTTTAAAAAAGTATGTTCTACAATGTCTCTGATACATATTTCAATACTGTACGCATATGTAAGAACAATGCAAAGACACGCTTGACGCACTATACTAATAACTTACTAAAATAAAAAAATAAAAAATCTTAAGTCTAACATGGTGCTCACATATGCATACTGACAATCCATAGAAATAGTGCTTCTATACAAGAAAAAGGAAACTCTTTGTTTCAATAAAGAAAGAAATGCTCGATGCTACAAGGAAACTAGATTGTCTACATTAGAATTAAAGTATTAAATTATGTATTATATTACCTACTATTGGAATTTAACTACCGACTACATTTGTGTAGGAAATAGTGACTGAAAATTCGAAAAAAGCCGAACAGTCGCTGAGGACATACTCAAACGAGTCAGTTCGGACCCAACATTCATGAAACGCATTGTTACTGGTGACGAGACGTGGGTTTACGAGTTTGACATGCAAACTAGGCAACAAGCTTCGGAGTGGCGCCTTCCAACTGAACCGAAACCGAAAAAACCACGCTAAAGTCGATCAAAAGTCAAAGTCATGTTGACTGTTTTCTTTGACTATCGCGGTGTTGTGCACTCTGAATTCTTACCGGAAGGTAAGCTAACAGTAAATAAAGAATATTATTTGAGCGTTATGTGACGGTACTCAAAGGGTTACCTTACCCTTTGAGTTAACCCTTAACTCGTCGAGTACCGTCATTATAGACACAATTATAGAACAATAGGTTGCGGTCACCGGTGACCGCTTGGTGTTTGACAGTTTAAAGAGTTAAGAGAGCAAATTCGAAGAAAAAGGCCAGATTTGTGGAAAGATAATTCTTGGATTTTGCACAACGACAATGCGCCTTCGCACAAGGCTATCATTGTGAAAGAATTTTTGACCAAACTCTCAACAAATACCGTCCAGCAACCACCATATTCACCAGATATGGCTCCTTCTGACTTTTTCTTTTTTCTAAACTCAAATTACCACCGTTTTCAATCGATAGAAGACATAAAGGAGAACTCAATTCCAGAAGCAGCGTTTAAAAAATGTTTTGATGAATGGATTATTCGTTGGCGCAAGTGTATCGTTTTTAAAGCAGCATAATTTGAAGGTGATAAAATAAATTTGGATGAATAACAGACATTTTGTGTATTATTGATCTTTTCCCGGTACTTTCTTGACAGAGTAGTATGGTACCGCTGTGCCAGTAGTCTGCACGAGCTGTACCTATGTCGGACTCACATGGAGCATATAATCAAAGAGCATGCGGCCGAAGCCCATGCGCTGGCGGTCGCGCACCACGTAGAAGTCGAGCACGCACAGCGGCTCCACCTCGTGCACCACCTCCTTGCTGTCGAACAGGAACAGGTGCTTGCGGCCCACCTTCAACAGGCCGATTATCTCGCCTTTGCCCCTGCAAAAAATGTAATCATATAAATAAATAAGACAAACAATGTAATTTATAAAACACATTCGCATTTACATAAATATTTAAACACTACGTTGTTTTAACGAACGCAAGCATCAGCAGTTTCTTATCATAGGTTCTATACCATTCCTTCGCTTATTCATTCGAGCAATAAACCGCACTAAAATCAATGTTTATGGAACCCCCGAAATATTTTATTTTGTTGTACCTACACAGTACACAGTACCTACACAGGACAAACCCCGAGTGTGCGGTAATGTAAAAGCGGGAACACAAATACATCATCTATCCTTACAACTGTCTAATAAGACTGGTGATAGACTGACGGACAGGAAGATGGTTAGCGAAGTCTTAGTGTATTTAATAGGGTTGCCGTTTTTACCCTTTGGACCGTACAAAACTTTTAAATGATTAATAACAAAAAAAATATCAGATGGGTACGGCCAACAATCGTATGTTACGTACATGCATGGTTGGCCGTGTCCATCTTGCAGGCGAATGCAGGCAGCCAACCTGACTCCTGATATTACTGATTTCACAAATACGCGAGATACAAAGGAGGCTATCTTTTCCGTTGTGCGGCATCAAAGGTGTCAATATGTGCGTCAAAAACACTGCAACTCAGCGAATATTAACCTATTAAACGTAAACAAGCATTTCATGAGTGTGCACATGTTTCCGTAGGGAGACTCCTACCGACATTATCCTAAGATAGAAAGAAACAAAAATAATTTATTCACCACACCACCTGGTGACACCAGGCACAAACACAATCCAATAAATACAATGCAAACAAAAATTAGGAGTAAAATAAAAAATAAAAAAATAGGTGTATACCAACAATAATAGTTATGTGCCCGACAGCTGCACCAAAAAAGTTCACGACTTCAGCATAAATGCCAGACATCTAGTGCCTGACGCTGGTTTTCAACTGAACCTGTGGCTATGACGCAACGGACGTAAAGCAGTAAATGCAGAGTAGCATGTGAAATGAGCATTTCTTCAATACTTAAAGCGAGTGAACTGAATAATCCATTCACTTAGAATGTGTGACCTTGCAGTTATTGTGTATATATACTTTTGTTTTAATAAAAACCACGAAAACATCTTTATGTTAACTTTTTGCAAATATAGAACCATGACTAGCATTGTCAAAATGTAGGGCCATGTGCGCCAACCCTGAGTAAGTGAAGCCCTCACACGTGTACATACACGCAGACACGCAGCACGCTTATTGTCTCCGCTTGTACATAAATGTAAACGTCACCGCGCTCGCCGGGCGGCGGGCGGCGGGCGGCGGGCGGCGGGCAGGCAGCGCTGTGCGGCCCGACCATGCAGAACGGAATGTTCTGACGCCGCCGCCACTACGAACCGTGAGTAGCGACTGACATCTCCCCGTTCATTCAAAGAGAAATTCTTGAGTAACAGCGAAGCAGCACAATTAGTCTGTGACGCGAGAGTTTCGCATGTTCACAGCAGCACAGCACTGAATATATTACATAATGGACCATAAGGCTTATTACACGCTGTGTTGACTGATGAACTAACTCAAACATAGGCAACTATAGGGTATTAAATTATAATGAGTCACTGTCGTTGGGTCAGTCGACAGTGTATGTATGTATAGCCTCAGAGCTGTGCGCTTCCTTTCTTAGTAGTTGAGAGTGGGGGTCCAACATACATCATACGTCAACCGACGGGACAGGCTGACCACCTTGTTATATTCATAATTTCATTTTCATCTATACATCTACATTGATGTATTAGAAGATTTAATTTTTTGTATAAATAGAATCGTAACAAGTAAAAATTGTACACTAAATAATATTTTTTTAAAAAATAATACTTGGGCGTGATCTACAATCGATATTGAAGCAAAAAAAAGTTTTTACATTTTTTGTCTGTCTATCCGACAGGGATAAATGAAAAAGAACTGCGTGGATTCTATATAATTCAGACGAAATCGCGAGCACAGCTAGTTAATAAATATTACTAGAGATTGAACTGAAGTTATTGTTTGGTAAAGAATTGTCGAACTAAAGCCATAAGATGTAAGACGCAAGTCGTAGCTACTGACTGCCCCATCGTGTGGTGACAGAATGTTACTGCCGCTAGAAATCTGTACCGATGCAGGCGCGGTATACTTATTGCCAAGAGAAAGCATACAGTGCGCACTGTTAGCGTTTTAACGGACGTCACTTCTTGGACAAATGAAATGTGACTTATTTCGCGAAAGCTGGATATTTGCTGTGAGCTTACTTGTTATCGCATATAATAATACATATAACGGAATGACAACATATTACGCTATATCGATGTAATCTTAAACTAGAAATCGCAGCGGCGATATTAGTGCGTTTGCGCAGCAGCAATGTTGACACCAGCAGTCTGCAGACACAGACACACAGCGCACTCGGCCCATAACGTACACACTATATTGTGTAACGCTAACTTCCTTCCAATTCAATTAGCACATACTTCAATTATACTTACTCCTTGCCCCGGTGGTCTTTAAGTAGATACACAATATGGCCGGGATTTTTGCGCAATTTTTCCGAACTCGTGATGACTTTGTTAAGGCCCTGTGCTGCGGCGGACTCCTCCCCAAGCTGGTCGATGATACGTGCCACCAAGTCTTGCACAGCTCTGTAACAACCAATCAACATTCAATATAAATAACACCTGCCGCCATTCTGCTTCACTTGTAACATGGGGCGTCACCGCGTCACATCTACATCTAGAATAACCGAAACAAAGTTAAGAAAATATTTATTCGGCACCAAACACGGTAACTACTTCATTGCTTCCGTCCATTCCACCACCATCTAACAAATAGAATGCACAGCTTGATAGTAAGCTGATACAAACCGCATGGTAGTGAAATATGTATATATGTTTGCACAATTATACTTGTTGTAACCATCATACTTCATACCCCAGGGTAGAGTGAAAAGTTTCCGGCCTAACTTACAAATAGCGCAGCAGGTTACATTTTTGAATTGTATTCTTTAGTCATGTTTCTCTCTAGCTTGTGTATAATATTCAGGTCAATAATTCTGAGAGCCAATTGATCAAGACACCTCGACTGCTTATATAAAAATGGAATAATCAGAGAAGCGTGCAGTCATCTTATACTTCTATTTATAAGGTTGAACACCAATTTAAATTAAAGAAGAGTTGAATTCCACACTTTTTCAGTGTCAGCTTTTTGCCATCGTATAAAAGATGAAACAATGGGTTTCTGAATTTAAGAAGAGTCGAACGAGCACTTCTTAAGCCACGTTCAGGACGCCCCGTTGAGGTTAAGATTTCCGTTATGATGGAAAAAATCCATAAAATGGTTTTGGAGGAGACTACAAGGATAACAACTGAATATGTACGCAATATTTTACATGAGATTTGAGCTTGGAGAAGCTCTGTGCAAGATTGATGCCGCATTTGCTAACGGTCGATCAAAAATTTACCCGGAACTGATTCAATCGACAAGTTGGCGCACTACAAGGGAAACTTCAAGTGAAATTTTGAGTCAATTTAGAACTGTGGATGATACTTGGATTCGCTCCTGAAAGTAAACAACAGTCGAAACAATGGGTTGGACCAGGTGAACCAAGCCTAAAGAAGGCAAAAACACTTTATCGGTCAACAAGGTAATGGCGACTGTGTATGATGGGATGATGATGGGATGGGATGCGGAAGGTGTAATTTTAATTGATTATTCTGAGAAAGGCAAAACCAATCATCAAAACTACACAGAGTTATTGGAACGTTTGAAGGACGAAGTGGAAAATAAACCCCACTTCTCACTTGGCGAAGTAGAAAATAACGTATCACCATGACAATACCCCAACTCATTAATTGACCGTTGCGATGGCAAAAATCAACAAATTAAGGTTCGAATCGTTCCCCCAACCACTGTATTCACCAGATTTAGCCCCCAGCGACTATCATCTTTCCCCTAAGCTAAAAAATGGCTTGGTGGTAAAAATCTTTAACAGCAACACGGAAGTCATCTATAGATGACTCAATGACTTACTTCATCTGTAAGTGAGTATTTTGAGGGACTTGGTGAATCGGGCGATAAATAAAAATGGCATAACTGCATAACGTCTGATAATAAAGCGAAAAAAAGAATTAAAAATAAGTTTACGTTCATTATCAGGCCGGAAAGTTTTCACCCCACCCACTTTATAACGCTGTAACTTAGAGAAGATCTGCTACGAACTACGTCAAGTTTTTACTAAAATGGCACATTGTACATAGTTTCTCTAAGTTGATAGTTTTAATTTGATATGTTGATAGTTTTAACTCGTACTTATGGTTATTCACCACGGAAAGTGCTAATAATTATTAGCACTACTTATTATAATTATAATTATAATAATAAGTAGAGCCACAACATTCGTACAAAGATGGGGTAGGAGCGCTCTGCGCCGGTCGGGTCGCGGAGGGTGACGGCGGAGGGCGAGGGCGGGAAGCGAGGCCGCGATGCCAATATTGATTCATGCGCCCGCCTGCTAGATACTTAGGTCTAGGTAGTGCTTAGCGCGCAGCTAGGGCCAGCCTCCCAAACTACCCTGCAAGCGTACATTGGGTAACTAGATGCAATATCGCTAAAGCAGCAACTATTGACAGACAGATTCTCTTCGACTTATTAACTCGTCGAGTACCGTCATTATAGACACAATTATAGAACAATAGGTTGCGGTCACCGGTGACCGCTTGGTGTTTGACAGTTTAATGACCTACATGTAAGGTAGCGTACTAACTCCTGCGGGCCTCGACAGCAGGCCTTTTTATATTTAATTTATTTAATTGTGTCAGTGTAACTTAGTATTAACATATTTATGAGTAAAGATTTGTGGTTACTAGCACTGGCTACTTCCGCGCGGAATCACCAGCTCTGCTCAGCTCCTATTTGTCGAAGCGTGATGTTTTATTTATATCGACTATATCGTAGCGTGGTGCTTTCCTCGTTATACGAACTATACAATACAAAAATTATTTCATTCGATGCGGTAGTCGCGGAGAACAGTGCGTTTTAAAAACGGACAATCTATTCAGCTTTTTATACAGGGCGGTTCGCCGCATGGACCGACATAATTTTTTTTTTTCAGGTATTTGGGAGGTCCTCATCTAGCTTTTACACCTACACCCTTCGTCCTAAAAGGCACGGTTGGTTAGATATAAGTGTTTTCTATTGAAATAAAAAATATACCCTATATATGTCCTTTAACTCAAAATAATTTATTTATTGTGGGTGTAGTGGTCTAAAATAATGTTGTATTCTATAAATTCTTAAATTTTAATGCATTAATTACCTGCTTTCATTTAAAAACTACCTGTTTTCTTCAGTTACCTTTGTAACAGTATGCAACATGTCACAAAAACGATTTATTGACTATGTTTTAAAATAAGGTTTACTATTTCGCCGTGACCGAACCATACACAACATTAGTAACAGGCGACTTCAAAAACTAACAAACAAAGGGTAAAAATAACGATTATTAGTCATATGTACTGATAAGAAGAATAAGAACAAGTAAGAAGTTTGTGTCACAACTTCTGAACAAAATGATTAATTCCAACTTTAATGGACCAAGTTTATTAAGTTTATTAAGCTGCTTACAACTGCTCACTGCTCAGTTCTTTCCATCCATGCATGAGAGGCTTGAAGAACATTATCATGGAGTGGGTCATTTTGAATTTAAACTTATTATTAATATACCTATCTGACTTAACAATCCAAAGTAAATCTTATAAATGTTTAAGTTAACTAATCTATATTAGTGGATGGAAAAATCTCAGTTGTCTATTATTGCATTCCGTTCATCATTGTAATATTATAATTGGAAATTAAACAAAAAAAAGAAAAAGCTGAATTTGAAACGAAAAAAGAACTAAAAAGCAATAGGTGTTTAACTACATAAGAACAATAATTATTGTTCTATAGAACTAAATACCCAAATAAAACTAAATACTCATTATAATGAGTCATTTTTGGGTATTTAGTTCTATCCATACCTAGATAACCAAAAGTGGAGTGTCTGTTTGTAATATTGAAATACCCGCTTTTTACTACTTGTACTGTAATACATACACCAAAATAACACTTTACAATTTTTATTTGTCTGTCAGTTTGCACTGGCTAATCTTTGAAATGGCTGGACCGATTTTGACGGGACATAGGTTACTTTTATTTTAGAAAAAACGCAAGCAAAGTTGCATGTTCGGGCTAGTTTAGACATATTATCCCAAATATGTTATATAAACATAGTGTACCTGTGTGTTTTAGGATTTAGTTACCTATGTAAGTTATTCTAGTGTCACGCTTATATTGGCTTACTAAATTTAGTGTAACACTTTAAGTCTCGACTCGTCAGAGTCGATATTTCGCAATCCTCCCGCCCTAAGACCCTCAAAGACATAGTATTTCCAAAAACCTAGATGGTTGTTGTATGAACAGCTGGTTGTTGGTTATGGTAATAGGTAGATGATTACTTAAAATTGATCATTTCTTTGTCTCTTATTGATCATGTTTTGTGATCAGTTTTATTTATGTAAATAATATCTGATCTAGAACCTAACAGGTAACCGGAGCTCCGGCTCGACGTGCAGGAGAAGGAACGGGGTGGTTTTTAGTCAGTAAGAGTCTGACACTCCTTCCCGCCTCACCCAGGCGGAAGCAGTCACTCGATGATTTTTCCCATTTAAGAAAAAAAAGATTGTGTGTAACTGCGACATCTGTCTGAATTGGAATCTTTCATATTATATTGGCTGTATCATTTTCTTTGACTTGGGTTGATTGAGCTGTTCCTTCCACCTTACATTGGTGGTTTCGATGTTTATTTTTTGAGGAGAGTCTAGTACACATACCTACTGTACCACGTTATTGTCTCTTGGTGTAATAGTTCCAACCCAGTTTTTGCACCCCGCCACAATGTGTTGTGCGGTCTCGTCTCTGACACCACATAGCCGGCACTTCTTGATTTATTAATATTATAATGAGGGAATAAGGATGGAAGATCTCAAACCAAACTTCTATAAGTGTACATATACTATTTATGTGAGTCTGCTGTCTATACTCAATACGCAGTTTATGTACAATTAGGACTAGTATTTTAGGTTTTAAATGAGTCGCTAAAACCTTTGCCTGATAATTTTATGTCTCTCTCAAGCTGCACAATGCTACCGGCCGACTGATTACAACTGCATTGGTGAAAATAAGTTACTGAGATGTTTGAACTTTTATATTCTTAAATGTTTAACAGATTGCCAAACCACATTGTGCATAAACACCAGTTCTGAATATAGTTCAGTCCGAAGGTCTGATATTAATTTCTTCATCACACTTATAATAGTATTAATTTCCTAATTCATATCAGAGTCATGTTGTATTAACAGGGCAGCAGAGATGAGTTTCAATTAGTTGTATAATAGAAATAAATATGTCCCTAATATGTTTGTTTTTTTTTACCCGCAAATAACTTTTTATTCAGACATCTAGATAATAAAAAAATATAAGGTAATAATAAATATGTGGAGGGTGAGGAAATGTGTGGGTATACTTGTATGTAATCTATCCTTTGTCAGTTTGACTGTCTTCTTGTAAAATATGAGACAAGCATTTTAGAGCAATTTTATGTTGAGTGTGGTATAATCATTATCCTACATTGACATGAAAATCCTACACTGTCAAAGTAGAAGCATTTAGTCATGTCAATTAATCCTTATTTAGGCACTTTGAGATGTATGTGGTGCGGGGCGCGGCGCTGTCTGTAGCCTATACCTAGCTAGGTATTGTCTAGTGCACCAACAGTGCATAAATAAATCAATGACATCTCCCGTGTCGAGAGAGATCGTTCGCGACGGCGCAGTAGGGAACTACTTACCTGCGGGGTGCGCAGCCATGGGTGTACATAATTAATCCTCTATACAGAGGCAGTTTCCTATATATAGAGGCAGTTTATGCAAAAATACAACATTACGTTGTATGTAGGATGTTTGGCTATTAACCTTGTCTTACCTTCCACTCGAGGTCACTTAGTACGAACGCACACAAACCGTAAAAAGACATAAACCTTGACGAGGTGTGTCGCTCCAGCGGTCATCTTATGATTAATCACAGATCATGCAACCACAGCTTATTACCCACAATATTCACCTTGTGGACCGCACATCGCCGCTGTAGTTCTTGGGCAGTAAATCAGAAGTGATTTTGGTAACTTCATCAAAAACGTCGTTGATTTCGGGCATTCCTCCTGGCACGGCCCAATCCATAGCGAATACTTTACTTGGTTCCGAAGATAGAACCAAGTAACTCAAACAGTTGTTATCACTGAGCGCAGTATTTCAGAGTTCCTTTTGGATCACAAATCACTTTAATTTTTGATAATTAATAAATAAATTGACCGAGCCGCGACGAGACGTCAAGCGCCTCAGACGAAATAAATTTGACTGATGCATAGACTGCGCAAGTGCGCGGACCGGACAGCTAGACAGACATGCGCACTACCGCCACCGCCCCTGCCTGCCTGCCTGACCGCGCCGTTCCGCTTGACTAGACAGTCAATACTTAACTTTTTTACAACTTGAACACTTACCTTTTTAGTTCTTTACGACCACCCGCCATATTCAATTTTGAATTTGTTGAAAACATGGAAAAATAATAATAAAATATACCAGCTTTTCGCGTTTTCTTATCGAATAAATTGTTTTTCTTTCTTTGAATGAATAGGATTGTCATTTAGGTACAACCATGGAATACTTAGTACCAAAATTAAACTAGGAAAGTATCATCCATTGAGTTAGAACTTATTGCTTAGAGGAGCAATCTCCATCCATTACCGCGCGTCACAAAACATTGAATTGCTTTGCTTTTTAACCGACTTCAAAAAAAGAAGGAGGTTCTCAATTCGACTGTATATATGCTTCTTTTTATGTTTGTTCGCCAATATCTCCGTTATTTATGAACCGATTTTGAAACTTATTTTATTGTTGGAATGGAGTTAGTCCCAGAATGGTCCCATGATAAGGAAATCAGGATCTGATGATGGATGGAGCCGAGAGCCAGTCGAGGGAACTCCTCAACGGTTAACAGTACCTTGTGTTTGGGTTTGATTAATTTGTATTGATGGGGACTTTACACTTAGGTGGGGTGTAATTGTGAATAAGGGTCTGATGATGAAGTTGTACGGTAGTTAAGGGAACTCCTTCGGTTAACAGTAGCTACCTTGTGTTTTGGTTTGATTAATTTGCATTGATGAGAACTTTACACTTAGGTGGGGTGTAAATGTCAATAAGGGTCTGATAATGAAGTAGTACGATAGTTGAGGGAACTCCTCAACGGTTACCAATAGCTATGTTATGTTTGGGTTTGATAATTTGTATTGATGAGGACTTTACACCAAGAGGTGGGGGGGGGGGTCATTAAAGGTCCAATGATGAAGTAGTACGATGGCTAAGGGACTCCTCAATGGTTAAGAGTAGGTAGCCACCCGGTGTTTGAACTTGAACAATTTGTATTAATGAAAACTTTGCATTTGCATGAATGCAAAGTTTATAAACGTGCAATGTCTAGAGAGTGTTGCCTAACATGTAAAATATAAATTTTTCCCTTTTAAAAAACATTAGGTGTAAATTATTTTATTTTGTAGTACCTATTTTTTTAGTCCGAATAGAGTTTATACAAGCATGTACACAGGGTGGCCGGGCACTTAAGATCAAGCGAATAATTTAGATATGTATCTACTTTATGATGAGGAATATCATCGAGATACGTCCAACAGAATTAGAAAAAATCGAAAACTGATGGTAGCTGAAAATTACGAAAGAAAGCATTAAAACCTTTATAACTCCAAAACCATGCAAGATCGCAGAACTACGGGCGTGATTTGAATTCTCCTCATCTTACACAATCTAAATTTTAGGTTTGAACGTCGACGTTTTACAAAGAGTAATGGCAGAACAGTAATTGAACAGAATCAGTAATTGAATTCATTTAATGATGATTCCCATAAATTTTATAATTATTAATAGGAAATATATATTATAATTTTATATACGTATTGCATCTTTTTTTAATTTTTCATGTCGTCTTTCATGTCTTTTGTAAGTAATTTTGCAAGAAATAGAAGGCTTTTTAATTTATTTTTATTATTTATATAATGGCCGAACATGTATGGGAAATGTACCTACCGTCCTACCGACCAATAAACCATTTGTTATGATGGGGGCTAGTTTTAATTCGTTTTGGGGAAAATGTTATAGTTACCTACTTACATGGTTATGTTTTAAGTGTGGGAGAGCCATGCTTCGGCACGAATGGGCCGCCTCGACTGGAGTGATACCACAGCCTCATAGAAAATTAACGTGAAGCAACACTTGCGTTGTGTTTCGTCACGTGGGTGAGGTTACCGAAGGCCTAATCCCCCCTCCTTCCCCAATCTCCCCAATCGCTAAATCGCCAACAATCCAACTCAAATCGACAACGACCAAACTTCTGATCCCTAAAAGGTCGGTAACACACTTGTAACGACTCTAGTGTTCCCGGTGTACACAGGCGACGCCGATTGCTTACCATCAGGTGATCCGCTTGATCGTATACAGGCTTATACCAATAAAATATCTATTAAACAAAGGATAATGCGAACCCAATATTATATGGAGTCTGGACCCTCCCCTAAATAGCATCATGCGGTACATACTCCGTTAGATTTTTTTTAAGGGGGGAAAATCATCGAATTACTGCTCCCGTCTGGGTGAGGCGGGAGGGAGTGTCAGACTCTTACTGACTAAAAACCACTCCGTTTCCATCTCCTGCACGTCGAGCCGGAGCCCCGGTTACCCGTTAGTTAATAGACTCCGAATCGGCATCGGCCCTATTGGGCCCCATCTGTGGTGGTCTGATGGCTCTTTGAGGCACGCGAGGAACGCGACGCGCCGTACACTCGGGTCAGTTTCTGGTCGGACGGGGAGCCACCCATGCTCGCCGTCCAGAGGCCCGCGCTTACGGTGGCCGGAGATCGTCCCGCGATCCCCGACGCCCGGTGTGTTCTTCGCGATGGCTGGGTTGCGAGGAGGCAGCGCTTCGCTTCCTCACGCGTCCTGCCTCCTCCTTAGCTAGCATGACTGCTTCGTAAAAGGGGGAGACGGCATCTCAGTCCCCCTCGCTCCGCATCATGGCCTGCACTAGGCCCGGACGCGAGAGATCGCCATCGCCGATCACTTCCCTGAGGGCACGGCGGTACTCAGCCCGCGCAGGGCATTCTGCTACAGTGTGTTCCACCATGTCCTCAGGGCGGTCCTCGCAGTGATGACACCCAGATGGTTCCTCCCGCCCCATCAGACACAGGTGCCTCCCGAAACTCCCATGTCCGGTGAGGACCTGTGTCAGGCGGTAGGTGAGGACGCCGTAGCGTCTCTCAAGCCACTCCTCAAAGAGGGGACTTATCGCTGCGATGGCAGCGAGCCCAGCCCTCGGTTGCGACAGTCGTTGCTGCCATTCCGCCAATAGGGCTTCCTAAAGTTGCGAATACACCCACGGCGAAATATAGTAGGTACGACGTCTTAAAGTTATTTCAATCTGAGCACTGAAACATTTTAAACTTAGGCACTATAACGCCGAAACCACTGACTTTTGACCTTAGTCGTAATACGAAGTCTTATTTTGCAAAATAATACCTAGATGATATATTAGAATTTTATTGAATTTGTTTTGGCGCACTTTGTGCTTGTTAACGGGACCTAGAACACTATTGACAAACGTCTGTACGGAGGCTGAGAGCAGAGCCTGTCTGTTTTTGTACGGCGATTCGATATATTATGTCTATCTTAATGTCCAACTCGATTACTACGGGAACCACTGTCCCTAAACTCACACAATTCGATGATCAATAATCATACGTATTGCAATAGGTACAAATATATTTTTTGATTTGATATTTAAAATTTATTCGAAGCCAGCTTATGAGGCATATCTTATATACGGAAATAAACTATCGACAGGATTTACATATTTGCATTAGTACAGAGTACCTATAATAATTTAGACGTCATAAAATTTCACTTCAAGGTAAATTTCATTAACAAGTAAATTCTACTACCCGGCCGTAGATGGCGATGTTCTTAATGTTGCTAACGTTACATTTTATTTTGTTACGTATGAGGTTGACAATCACGTCATAAGTCAATAAATTCTATTCAACCTGTGGGTTTACCATGGACGTATTATATAACTACGGAATATAGAATACAATGGAAGTAGCTTGAAACAATATTTCTGCCAGAACCGGTGTAGCCATACTAATACATTTATAATTTACTCATACTATAAATCGGAAGTTACGATTGGTTAGAAAAAAAATGGGCGTAAACGAAATGCAAAAAAAATATCATACGATATGCAACTTTAAAATCAATGCACTATAAATCAAAATAAAAAAGTATATTTTGGACTACCAAGTACCGCCATTCGTCGCTAGATGGCGTTTAACAATGCCATCTAGCGACGAAAAGTGGTACTTGGTTTGAACTTTAATGCCGTAAGAATAAAGGTGATATTTGAATGGCTTATCACTGGCTCGAATGCGGGTCTCTACTCAGATAGTGATGTAGCCTAATTCGATAAAAATAATATCGATAATATGAAAATGTGTTTTAAAAATAATGTGAAAAAAATATTGACTGCGATAGTGTGACAGTATTAAAATAGTAAAATTAATATGTCGTTGATAACTTTTTAAACGTAACAAAAAAGGGTAAGTATTTATTTACATGTAAATCAAAAACCATTTCGTTCGTATTTTTAATTAGTTTCTTTTTTCAAAAAATTTTTTTTTATTTCACATAGGCAATATCAGTAACAACTATTACATACATTTTTACAAACTTTATATGGATAATGTGATAAATGAGAGGGATGGCGATAAGGATGACGGTGCTGATCTGCTCCATGAAGTGAAGGTTGCTTCCAATCACGTCGGGGTCACCACTAAAATAATAATAAAAAAATAATCTAAATAAATGTTACATTACACTTCCATCGATATCAATCGATAAATTCAATATGAGATTTGACTACATCACTATTTGAGTAGCGTAGAACTGGCGAGAATGTTCTATTGAATGGAATAAATCCAAAATAAACTTTATCTTGAAGGCGTAAGGTTGATTTTGACTAACCGTTTTAGTAAATAATATTATATTAATAACCGTTTTTGTCAATTGAAATAAAATAAGATTTCTACAAGAAAACAATGAAAATTGTACTTACCGATGATACGAAATACCTCCATTTTTACGATTTTTCGGCTGCTAACATTTTTACACGCCAAAACGGAACAAAACGGCATAGTTGAGGAAATATTTTTTTTTATTTATTTATTTTAGCAACTCGACGCGATGTTCGAACGAGACTGAATTCGAAATTGCCTCGAGTAAGCAGTACACTGCTTAGTTGTGGCACGCGTGCCACGCCTTCTTGCTACTTCCATTGTATTCTATATTCCGTGATTATAACCAAC